AATTTGTGTGCTATATCATATCCTTTATTATACAATAAATCGGTAAGTGTAAATAGGTGTTTCCCTGAGTTCTGTGAGCCATACTAGCAAATTATCAAACCCAAGGAGGGGTCATGGGAAAACCGGTTTATAGTTGGTTAGTCAGAAGTACAGACGACAGCTTGAAACTTGCAATTGGTATCTGAAGTGGAGGCAGTCTTGTGGGGTTGGACCCTTTGCCTGTGGGATCTGCTGCTAACTCCTTAGAGATAGTGTCAGAACTGAATTGAATTGCAGGGCACCAAGCAGGGGTTGCAGAATTCCTTGAGGTGTGGAAAATCCATACTTCTGGTGTCAGAAGTGTTGTGAGTGTGGTAGGAGTGTGAGAGTAAAGGAGGAACACACAGGAGTGTTTTCCCTGTACAGGAGATAAATGTCTTTCACTTGTCCCACCACTCCCCATGCCCTCTGCATGACAGACATTGCCAATTGTAGGTAGAATCCTCTTCTACTGAGTCTAGACCCAGTCTTGGAATTGTTCTTAGTTTTTGCCCCAGGTGATGATTACCTGTTAAGTGATTGGCACCTGTGTTGAAATCTATTTATCATCTATGTAGATCTAATCTGCCTCTTTCACAGAAGGACTTATGCTAAGTGCTCCAGCAGAAACTGGCTAGAAGTTCACCAACCCACTTTTTATTCTTCCTACATGCACAGGTAGACTACGATTCCAGCTTTCCTTCCAAACAGGTATGGCCACGTAACTGTTCTAATCAGTAAAACGTGACCCCTCCCGATATGTACCATTTCTAAGTCTAACCCTAAAAATATCCTATGTGATCTCCTCCATTCTTTTCCTCATCCACTTGTTTGATTCCTGTGAGCACAGTGACTCTATAAGCCACCTGAGGAAGCTGATAGAGTCAAAGGGTGGAAGGAGTCTGGGTCTCTGAATCACCTCTTTGATGAAAGCTACCTTCCAATCATAAACACCTGTTTGGGTCTTATGTGAAGAAGAAACAGACTTCTGTTATGTTCAGGCCGTTAAAATTTTTGATTGTGTTTGTTACAAAACCTATTGTTAAAAAAGAAGGGTCATACAAGATCACATCATTAGCAAGTTTCAGAGCCAGAATTTGAATCTGAGTCTTTTAAAGTCCAAATTATTCCCACAGTGATAAGCTTATTGATAATTTAAAATATTATCCACGTTAATGATAATTCACATGACCTTATTTCAGACCTTATTTCAACCTAAATTGTCTCCAGTTATAACCCTACCAAGTTTTGAGCTCATCTGCAAAAAGTCTTCTCCCACCTCTAAAAAAACTCAGTATCTTCCCACTGATGACTTCAGGACTAGACTTCCCCATCCTCTCATCTGGCTTAAAATTCCTGCCCAAGTACGAAGCATAAACGGTGACATCAAGTTAGGCTTTCTCAAGTGTGTCCTGGGGAACAATTTCTGTGGGATGTTAGCAGGTTTGGTGCCTAAATAAAATATTCCATGGTAAAGTACATTTGGGAAATCCTAGATTAAATAAAGTGAGAAGGTGTCTTCTCTATAGGAGTATCTTTTAATAGGATAATATGCCCTGAGATTCTCTAAAATAGGGGTAAAGTCAGTAGCATTTTGCAAACTTATTGATGACAGAGCCCCTTCACAAAGAGCATGTCAAGGAAGTGATGTTCCACTGAACACATTTTGGAAAGCACAAGCCTAAGTGTATTGGGTCATACCCATAATCGCTGGTATGAATGTAATACATCTTGGAATTTAGCCCCTCTGCCCAAGGAGACTTTTGTTTCTGGTTTGTGTACTGTGTATTCCTGACATTTGACAAATAATTACTCCTTGACCTTTGTCTGGTTTGGGCTACTAATCCTGTATCCTCTGGCTCTCTTCAAGACTTGACAACAGACTTTATTTTGTGGACAGCTCTGCCACCCTTTGTCTGTCTTGTTGCTGCCCTACCTGACAGAACACAAATGTTTCCCTTTATTGATTGTGTGTATTTATAGTATTAATTCTTGTTTCAATCGAACACCCCAAATAAAGGGTAGAGTTGGGTAGTGTTAGTAACACAGAGACAATTCTTACTGGCCTACTTAAATATCAATGTCAATAAAATACAGTGGAGTTACACTATATGGAAATTTATATTATGTGAATTCAAGTAGATATACTTAGCACCCTGGCCCCAGATAGTGAGAAAAAATAGTTTAAACGCAAGGCAGTTAGTTAGATTTTATGTTAGGGAATGCCATTACTGGGGGGGTCTCTTATATTTTTAAAACTTGCATAATCCAAAATTAATTTTTCATAAAACTGACAAAGGAAGGTATTTCTTTGCTGTCTGAAGTGGCACCACCATGGGCTGTAGCAAAAACATGGTTCCCAGTTAACCTGGCCCTCAATTTAAAATTGTGTGATTGTTAATATAAAAAAAGATTCTTTTGTTATTTCTATTATTTCAAAAGCTGCCAATCTTGTGAGAATTGATTAATACTTTTATGTTGTACTCTTTCAAATTTGCATAACTCTGATTTTATAAATTGCTACTACATAGTAGTGTGGGTGCTTTCACTCACCATCCCACTCCATTTGCACAGCGATTTAATCTGTTAGGAGATACGACTGCTATTTCTTTCTTTCCTGTGTGCCTTTCATAGTAGAAGATATTACTGTCCCATAAATGCAAACCAACAATTGCATCTGGCCTCACCCGAATAAACTGAAATCTATTGAATGCTGGCAAAATGCTATACTGAATTTACTGAACATTATGTTAGTCTCCAAAATGTCACGTAGTTTTAAGATATTTTCAAAGATAATTTTGAATATACATGATTTTTCTCTTTATGTGCCAACTTTACAATTTTATCTCTCACATAAGATGTGAATCTACTTGAAGATAATGGACATTATTTGTTGCCAACCCAGCATCCACTATTCCCTCCTCTCTTCCTAACAAACCCCTATTTTAGCCAGGTATCTACCCTCATATAACTAAAGGGAAGAAGATCCTGATACCAGTTCCAGGAGTAGATCTTGATTTGTCTAAGGTTGTAATGGTAGTCCCACCCCCCCTTGCCAGTGATTGGTTTCAGACTGGTTGAGTAACCCAGTTATGACCTATGAGATATAAGATAGTCAGTTGAGGGGTTTCTGGAAAGATTTCCTTAATTCTCAGAAAGGGACTGAGATAGTAATAGTCCGTCTTCTTCCTAAGCATGTTGCTGGGTCTGGATGTGACTCCAATAGTTATTGCCATCTTGCTACGTTAAGAGTGGAAGAGAGCAGAGATGGATAAACCCTAGGTCCTTGAAGATGTTGCTCTGTTATTGAATCAATCAGTCATGAAGTCTCCCCAACTTCTTCCTTTTAGATAATATTATCAGTTAGCTTGGGCTGCCATAGATTGGGTGGCTTAAACAAAAGAAATTTCTTTCTCTCAGTTCCAGAGAAGGAAGTCCAAGATCCAGGTGCCAGCTGATTTGGTTTCTGGTGGGGACTCTCTTCCTGGCTTGCAGACGGCCTGCCTTTTAACCTTCTCACTCTCCTCACGTGGCCTTTCCTTGGTGTGTGCCCAAGAATAGAGTTCTCTCTCTTTCTCTTCCTCATTTTATAAGGCCAGCCTTATAATTAGGATTCCACCCTTATGACCTCATTTAACCTTAATTACCTCCTAAAAGCCCTGTCGCCAAATATAATCACATTGGGGGTTTAGGGCTTCAACATATGAATTTGGGGGGATACAATTCAGTCCATAGCAGATAATATAACAAATGTCCATATGCTGTTTAAACAAGTTTAAATTGGTTTTTCTGTTATGTATTACTAAATATACCCTAACAGATGTCATATCTTATGAAGCAATACACAAAGGATAATGTCTAATTCATGACATATAACAGAAGATCAAGGGCTATTTTCCTTTTCTCAGAACAAAGCAGTTGTCGAGTTAAAAATGGTTAGTCCATTGCCGTTACAGGGCATTTCATGAACTGCTGATTGTACATATATGTGGTATCATGTTAACATAAACAGTCCAGCCCTTAGGGAGTTTTAAGTTATAAAAGAAACATTTTTCTAAGATCATGTGCTCTGATATAAAAACCATACTCTAGCCCAGTTCTATCATTATAAAGTTCTGGCAAGCCAAGAGACATTAGTTGGTGATTTTATCAGGCAAGACTTCTAACTAATGCTTGATGAAACCATCACTGCACCATAAAACACCGTAACAAATTGCAGTGACTATTCCTTTCAAGAATTTAGTCATTTTAGATCATTAACGTTTATTTCACAAAAAGCAATTTCTTAGCAATCACTACAGTCCTACAAATAAGAATATACTTTCACCTTTCTGCATGAAATGGATCAGTTATGTTTATCCTTGCAATTCAAATCTAATTTTAATAACTATCTTCAACAAAGAAGGTGGAGTGTAGACTTTATCCCATTCTAGTAAAGCTCATATGAAACATTTTACCTATTATTTTAGTTACATTGTATACAAAGTAATTTTATGTAGTTTTCCAGATGAAAATTAAATAAATACAATTATATTGAAGTGAAGGATTTTCATAACATAGTAAAATTCACTTTTTATATCTAGCCTGGGAAGTGGAAAGAGCAGCACTAGTCAAATTTTAAAAACAAAACCAAATAAACAAAAGCAAACTCCACCAAGAAATAAATGATGAGAGATAAATTTGCATATAGATGGATCCATATTAAAGCAATAGAACTTGGGCCATTTTGAAATCTTAAACCTTCTGACACTATTTTCATAAACTCAGTAATACAAACCATGTGGTGAATGATTTTCTGAAAAACTTTGCTGGTTTCACTGTGTATTTTATTATTGGCCAAATGTGACATTAAATTTTATCCCCTGTGGCTTGGAGTTAAATGCTTGCTCTGTTCAGAATGACAACACTCAATTAAACAGCATTTTTCATGATCTACACCCACCATTGTTACTGTATTTAAGGGAAATAATGGGGGTACTGACCTATATTGCGTTTCTTATTATCAATGGAGATGAAGCGAATGCAGGGATTACTGGTGATGTACTGCCCAGCCCAAGGGACATCAATCTTCGTGCCAGCTTCATAAAAGAGGCCCAGCGCGTAGCGAGAGGAGTAGCTCACAGACTCCAGTTGCTGCCTTTGGCATTCACTAATTACTGTGGAAGAAAAAGTACAGGGCATCAAACTTTAAATTATCATCTTTCCTTTTAGTACATCAAATACAAAACTCCTTTAAACCAGTTCCAACTGTTTCTACCGACTCCAGCTCACTTATGATGAATTTTGAAAGGTAATGTAAAATAGCATCAGCTCTAATTTCTTTGCAGAGTGATTACTGTCCTTGGCACACTTGTTTTCATCAAGCTGTAGGTCCAAACTCTTTAGACTGGCATTTAAGTCTCTCAAAATCTGACACCAAGTTGCTTTTCTAGCTTTGTGTCCTACTTATTATCCTGGGACTGGCTGGCAACATTATAGATTCCATACACTGAGCAGGGTTTTTGCCAACACTTAACACAAGCATTTCACCCTATTTTAACAACCACCGTATAAGGTAGAATATTATTCCCATGTTACCAATGAGGAGATTAACGCTCCATCTCTTATGGACTTCTTTAAGTTCTTCCATGTCATACAGTCATTTGTTTGCCTGTCATCTTTCTGTCAGTGGACTATCATAGTTTCTTAAGCACAGGGAACCATACCTTAGTCTTTTTTGTTATAGTCCTCTACCCTATTAATTACAGAAATACAAAGGATGAAAGTATAAAGAGATAGAAAGGCAAACACAGACATGCAAAGTTAGTTAAAATGTAGGAGGTAAGTAATCAACAAATGGAAAGACTGGGAAAGGAATTAGGCAGGTTTGGGTTCAAATCCTGACTCTACCACTTACTAGGTAGGTGACCGTGGTCAAGCCACTTATTCTAATTACAGTCCTTTTGTCTTTAAGTGGCAAAAATAATACAGGATGCATTAATCTGTTGTGAGGATTACATGAATAATTCATAGCACAGTGCTTGGCATATGATAAGTGTTCATTAACGATTTTTTCTATTATAGAGAGAAAAATATTTAGCAAAATGGGACAATGCTCCATCCTGGGATGAAGAACAAAAAGACTTCCCTCACGTTTTAATTTCCATCTCCAGTCTTCCTACCTTTAAGGGTCTCAGGGAGCTGCTTGTTCATGTACCACATTAATAATTTGGGTTTCAGAGAAGGCAATAGTTCTATTCTGAAGGCTTAAGTCAAGCCAGTTCAGAAATGGAGCATATGAAAAATTCTCATTTAATTGGTGAAAAATATCCTAATCTAAATCAGTAGGGACTGGCAAACCTCAAGGATGGGGGTAACTTTAGCTAAACCTTAGAGAAGTGGCTTTAGGAGGAAGAGAGAAAACAAGGATACTCAAATTATTTAAGCACAGTAATAATCCTACACATTATCACAGCATATTCTTGGCTACAAAACATTTTTAGAACTAAGACCTCATTTAATCTTCACAAAAGCCCTGCAAGATCTACCATTCTAATTTTACATCTCTGTGAAGCTGAGATTCAGAGAGGTTAAGTAATTTGCCCTAGGTTACACAGCTTCCAAGTCTGTGCGGTCAAGATGAAGCTAGAATTCCCGCATCGGAGTCATGCCCGTCTTCTTTACTCCACACTTCCCCTCCTGATCTGTAAGTAAGTCTGAGCTTCAGAATGAACTTTAGCATTTCTTTCTCTTCTGACATTAATGGTTATTTTGCACTCAGAAGTAAAAACCATCATTCCCTTTAACCATCATTTTCTGTCTTATTAAAAGATTTATCTACTTGATGAACAAACGATCTTTTGACACTGGCCTTGTTACACTCAATGTATCCTGGGCTTCATTTTATTATTTACTCTACTTTTAGAGTTATGGGGCCTGATATTATGCTTACTGCTTTCTGAGCTGGAGGAGGTGAAGGAGACTAACACTAGCAGGTGAGCACGTATTATGTATTTGGGGGGTTATCACTAAGTTTCCCATTTTTTCAATTAAAAAAATAAACCTACAAAACAGTGAAGTCAGTTATTTAGCAACTGAAAGGGCCTAAAACTCTTTTTTGAAAGAATTTTTTTTTCTTTTTACCAAAACCGAAGGGTCAACTAGATTGACAACCAAACTGGACCTTTTCCTCCCCGCCACACACATTTGCACATTTAGCTAGTTTTTAGACAAGCTGCCAAGTGGCAAATCCCACTGGGAAGACTTTGAAAAGGTAATTGATATCTATATAGAAACAGAGGTTAACCTTAAACACCCTTGTCTGCTTCAGGGGCTCTACAATTCATTCTGAGAACAGGGAGGTGAGACTTTTGACTCAAACAATCTCAACTTCTGAACATATTCATTTAAAAAAAAATTTACCTTCAGGGCCCAGAAAGTTTATAATTGTTGCAGGACCTAAAAAAATGGGAATGGGGTAGCTTACATTCATACTTCTGTCAATTAGGAGAACTGTCCTTATCCCATTCTCCTTGTGCCTATGCCTGTGTGTGCACACATGTATGTACATGTGGGTATGGGGGAGGGGAAGAACAGAGGGAGAAAGGAAGGGGGGGGAGAGCAAAACAGAAGACCAGAACTGTACTCCTCAATAACATCAAGTGAGTAATTTCATTTTTTTGTTTTCTAATGTAATTTCATTCTTTTAGTCTCCTAACATATGAAAGAGGTCTAGACATACATATTCTGCCTTATTTCCTATGTGGTTTGGTGATGATCTCATTCATTCGTTCATTGCCTACTTTATGATGCCAGGTATCGTTCTAGATGTGAGGGATATAATAAAGAAAGATAAAGTTCCCTCTGTCAGGTAGCTTACATACTAGTGGTAGAGAGACCAATTATCAATAAATAACTAAGTAAATGGTATGTCAGTTGGTGAAAAGAACTATAAAGAAAATTAAAGCCGGGTAAAGGGATGAGAGTGACAGGTCTGCGTAGTGAGGCTACTTTAAATAGGCTATTAGGGATATATGTCTCCCCTGAGGATTTTATTCTGATCGACAGGGGAACCATTACTACTGGTTATAAGCCAAGGACAAATATGACCTGGCTTCTGCTTTAAAAATTATCATTCTGGCTATAGGTGAAGACTGCAGGGATGCATGAGAGGAACTGGGGCAAACAGCTATTGCAGTAGTCTTAGATGGGAGGTAACAGTAGAGAAGGTCAGAAGTGGTTACATTTTGGACGTAATATATGTGTGTCTGTATGTGTGTGTGTGTGTGTGTGTACACATATGCATGTATAAATACATACCTTTGAATTATATATATTTTATAAATATATGTGTGCATGTATTATATATATGTGGATGGCACATACACACACATACATATATATAATGTAATTTTAATTGAGGTTTAATATACCTACAGAAAAATATGCCTTGAATTTTCATAAAGTGAATGCACCAGTATAATCACCAGCCAGATTAAGAAACAGATCATTACCAGAACCCCAGAAGCGACCTTCTTCCTCCTTTACAGGTACTCCTTGCCAAGGGTAATCAGTAATCCTGAATTCTAACACCATAGATTAGTTGAGCTGTTTCTGAATGTCACATAAGCAGAATGATGTTGTATGTACTATTTGTGTCTGGCTTCTTTCACTCAATATCATGCTGGTGATATTTTAATTGCTGTTACACGTAGTTGTACTTGATTCTCCTTATGGGATAGTATTGCTTATATGTATCTACTACACTCTATCCATTCTACTATTGATGGACATTTGGATTGTTTGCAGTTTTGGGTGATTGCAAAGGTACTGTGAAGAACATATGTATGTGCTTCTCTTGGGTATATACTAGTATAGGAATTCCTGGATCGTGGGGTTCCTTATGTTCAGCTCTGGTAGCTACTGCCAAATGGTTTTCTAAAGTGTACCAATTTGTACTCCCACCAAGGGTGTATGAAAGTTTAGTTGCTCTACATCTCCATCCACATTTGCTACAATCTGCCTTTTTAATTTGGGGTGTAGTGATATCCCATTGTGGTTTTAATTTGTGTTCCATGACAACTAATATTTGGAAGCTTTTCCATGTTTATTTGGATATTCTTTTATGATTGTCTGTTCAAATCTTTGCTTATTTTTCTTCTGGGTTATCTGCCGTTTTCTTACTGCTACGTAGGAGTTCTTTATATATTCTGGATATGAGTCTTATATGTGAATTATAAAAGCTTTTTCCCCCTCAGTAGCCTGCCTTTTTACTCTCTTAATAGTGTGGTTTGATGAACAGAGTTTTAATTATAATTTAGTACAATTTACCATTTTTTCATTTATAGTTAGCCCATTTATGTTCTGTTTAAGGACTCTGCCTACTCCAGGGTCCTGAAGATATTCTCTTATTTATTTTCTCTCAGAGCTTTATTGGTTTACCTTTCATAGGATTTTGGATATATTTTGAAGATAAATCAGCCAGAATTCCTGTTGGCTTGAAAAGGTCGTGTGAGGAAAAGAGATCAAATGAGAATACATGGGACACTACTTCTCACCTACCCTAGTTAATAAACAACAACTTTGTTGTTCTATAATTTTAAAAGTTACAATATAAAAATAAGACACTACATTATAAGCAACTTGAGGAAAAAGACTTTGCCTCATGAGCTTTGTGTGTCCAGGTCCCAGGACAATGACTGATGCGATGTGGGCATTCCATAAATATTGATGAATACATATCTATTTTAGAATATTTGGAAAGTACACATAGGTTTAAAGAGGCAAAAGGGAAAATAATAAACACTATATTCTCATTACCCAGAGAAACAGCTATCAATATTTTGACACTTTTTCTTCAGTATTTTCCTGACTTTTTTCCTTAAACATGGCTGTGACCATAGCGTACATACAATTTCATATACTGCATTTTACAAAATATCTCATTGTAAACATAATTTTTAATGCCCCCATACAATTTTAAGGAATGGATGTTGTGTAATTTGAATTTAACCATTTCATTAATGTTGGACATTTGTTTCCTTTTTTGTCCCTTATAATTAAAGCTGTTATGTACATCTTTGTGCATAGATCTTTATTTACGTTTCCGATTATTTCCTTAAGACAGAATATTGGAAGTGGAATTACTGTTAAATTGACATTCAGACAGATGCACCAA